CTGGCCATGTGGTGGGTGCGCTGTCTATAGATTGTGAAGCTGCATTTCTACTTCTGACGCTCTTTGTTGTTTCATCGTGATTCTACATTCCCCAAGTTTCTCGTTGCGAGATTTGCAGAAGAGAGAGAGAGGGAAAAAAAGTGGGCAAAATGCCTGGATTGCTTCGGAAGCTGATCGTGGTCGCGGCCGCTGATGGACTTGTCCTTCACTCCACAGGCAATGGCTTGCGGCATACTGGAAATAACGAGCCGTCTGCTATTCGCATCGATTATAAGACTAACCAAATCACATTACTTCCTGGCTCCGCCTCGGGACTTGACGATACGAGAGACTCCGGTCTAGAGATTCACGGTCTCGTCGGTATGTGTTGAATATCGCCATTTAGCCAAGACTCTAGAATGGACTGTGGACCATTCTGTTTCATCTTATCATGTGTATTTTGCGCGCGCATGCTCCTCTTCTCTCCTCGTGTTCTAGTTGATATTCTGGCCCATGCAAAGGGATCATTCACTGATGGCTGCGTTCTGCGACCCAAGGGCTTCTATCCGTTGCATCGTATTCATTCCTCATCTCTATCACTCAACGCCAGCAAGTGGCTCAGATCCAGGGCAAACCAATCTATACCATTACCAATGTCGCCGTAATCCCAACATCATCTCAGGCGGACGCGAGTCGTGCAATCTCGCAGGCCAAGGAGAGTCTGCTGCAGGGCGAGGACAGTCACACCGAGACTGGTTCCGAGGATTCAACCACGATATCTGATACAGAGACTGAGGGAGGCGATACTGAAGTCGGCACTGCGCCGGCTTCTCCCGAACAGGAGGTCTCTTACTCCCGGACACGCAGCGTTGGCAGCATCGCTGAAGATGTGATCGGAAAGAAGGTTCGCTTCGGACGGTTCGCGGCGAACTGGCTCTCCAGGAAGACACTGGGCCTGCCCGGACTCGGCACAACCAACCAGGAATCTACCGAAGCGCCCATGGGAGATCTCAGGGAAAGCACGGCAGAGTCTTCCCCTACAATCGCCAAGGTCAAAGAGGACGGCGAGGCAACCCCAGTGCCTCGAGGTGATGATGCTTCGTCGAAGAGTCTCGCGGAGCCGTTCGGTTCGGATCCTACGGTCGAGTTGCTGCCCAAGCTGCTGCGTTACACGGAGATGATTTTCTCATCGCGCAATTTTTTCTTTGCCTACGATTACGACCTTACCAGGAACCTTAGTGTGCAGGAGCCCTCGCTGACCACCCACCTCCCACTTCACAGATTGGTCGATGATATGGTGAGTACGCGGTCTTACAAGCTATGGGGCGCGTTTAGTGGCTAATCGACCATGTCCAGTATTTCTGGAATAGAAATCTGCTTGCGCCCTTCATCACAGCCGATGCTCACGGCTTTGCTCTGCCATTGATGCAAGGGTTCGTAGGTCAACGAGAATTCACGGTCGGGGCAACTCCGAAGCCTTCATCATCAGAATCAGGTAAATCAGACGAGCAACAGGTCGATGGCCGGATTCTGGGCGATAAACAGGAGGCAGATACCGTCAAGACCGATGAGGAGAAGCGCGATTTTCTCGTCACTCTAATTTCTCGACGGTCGGTGAAGCGACCAGGCTTGCGATATCTCCGCCGTGGCGTGGATGATAATGGTAATACCGCCAACTTTGTTGAAACAGAACAGATTCTCTCGACGTCTGACTGGAAGCCGACACGCAATGTCTACTCGTTCCTACAAGTGCGAGGCTCAATCCCGCTATACTTCTCTCAGTCCCCGTATGCATTCAAGCCAGTCCCCGTGCTGCATCATTCCACAGAGACGAACCAGCTCGCCTTTGACAGGCATTTCCGAAATCTGAGTCGGAGGTACGGCAACGTTCAAGCAGTATCCCTCATAGATAAACAAGCTGGTGAATTGAAGCTCGGGGAGCAATACGAGAAATTTGCTCGGTTCTTGAATGAATCAGGCGGCATTGATGGTGCGCCGCTCAACATGGAGTGGTTTGACTTCCATAATGAATGCCGAGGGATGAAGTTTGAAAAAGTAAGCCGACTGGTCGACCGGCTGGAATCAACGTTGGGCGAATTTGGCGATACGATGGTGCAAAACGGTACCGTTCTCCGGCGCCAGTCCGGGATCACGCGCACTAATTGCATGGACTGCCTCGATCGCACGGGCGTTGCGCAGTGTGCTTTTGGCCAGTGGGCTTTAGAGCGGGAGTTGAAGCAGGAAGGGATAGATCTCGACTTGAGACGCGATTCCTCGACACACTGGTTCAATACCCTCTGGGCGGACAACGGCGATGCGATTTCTAAGCAGTACTCCTCCACTGCTGCCTTGAAAGGAGACTATACCCGCACTCGAAAGCGGAATTATCGAGGAGCGTTGAACGACTTCGGGCTGACCCTGTCTCGTTACTACAACAACATTGTGAACGATTACTTTTCACAGGCCTGTATCGATTACCTGCTGGGGAACGTCACGACCGATGTCTTCCAGGAGTTTGCACTTGAGATGCAGACAACCGATCCAGGCATCTCCGTGCATAAGCTTCGGCAGAATGCCATTGATACCAGTTGCAAGATCGTCATCAGCGATCAATCTGAGGAGTTCCTCGGAGGCTGGACACTGCTGACCCCCCGACAGCCGAACACGCTCCGGACCATGCCATTTGAAGAGGCCGTCCTTCTTCTCACGGACGTTGCTCTGTATAGCTGCCGGTTCGACTGGAACACGGACAAAGTGTTGTCCTACGAGCGGATTGATTTATGCTCAGTGACCAGAATCAATTATGGAACCTATGTAACCTCTATCTTGACGGAGGCTCAGACTGATGAGCGCAGCAATGTCGGGTTGGTGGTGGAATATCGCGAAGGCGACAAGAACGCATTGAGGGTCAATACACGGTCTCTGCAGAGCCAGGTGCCTTCCACGAGTCTCGACAGTAATGCGCGCCCGAGCAGTGAGTGGAGCATGTACTCGTGGTTCAAAGGCGCCCCGCACGCGGCCACCCGCCTGGTTGCATTCAAAGCCCTTCCACAGGTCATGGGGACTAGCAGTGTCAGCCCTTCGGACTGGGTTCGAAGCATCTGCGAGGAAATCGAGCGGGCCGTGACGGCAAGCGACCGGCACGGCCCTCCTGAAGATGGCAAACAGCGATCCCTGATTGATTCCTCGGACATTATCTCGTTGGAGGAAGCGAAGAAACGCACTGGATACCTGGAACATCTGGTGTATGACATTAAGAAACTGGTCTGGGCATGAGGGTTGCATTTTGTTTCCGGCTTATCTCGAAGCAAGCGAGCGGAGTTAGATTGAATACTGCGATCTTTTGGTGTTGACAGAAGGAAGTTATACATGTCAGGCATTGCGGGTATTTGATTTCTGTTTGGCAGCAAGAGTTCAGCTCATGTCCTTCGAAGACTCCAGCCCGGTTCTCAATGGGATTCTGATCATGATGGTCCGCAACGGTTCAACCTCATATTATTGCATGTATCTCCCTGACCACGCAAAGAGACGCACGAGGGTCGATCTGTCGACTATATTAAGCGGGCGTCCATGCATGTGCTGAGGATGCACGTGCGCACACTTTTCAATCATTCAACCATGGAAAATAGTGGCATATAGACCAGAAGAGAGCCACTTAAGTTATTATGATAAAATTCAGTGCGGTATTAACTTATCACACCTCAGATAAAGTTGAAGAGGAAATAAATGCAAGAACGTCGATATCAGAGAGCCAGGCCATGCCAGAGATAAGATACCGGTTTTTACTGTGCTGTACCATGACCGCTCAGGCAACTAGTGATCGTAGAGAATAGTACAGTACGGTACAGGGTGACCACCACCCATTTATCCGCCTCGAGAAAAAGGATGGTTTGGTCATTGTAGCCTTCTTATGAACTGTGCCTTTATTGTCTATCCTATGACCAATTTTCTATGGTTCTTTGTTGTTTACACCTGGTGTGGTGTATGGCCGGTGTTCAGCAATCAATAATCTCCATTCGTCCCACGGTCGCCGGCCTTTCGTGGTTGGCCTGTTATCTTTGTACTGTACTGTACAGTACGTCACGTCGTTGGGTTATTGCTACAAGAAATCCGGTCTGACCCCATTGAGTGATGATCATATAGGACGAGTCAGACATTATAGTATTCTTGCTATGGAGCGGAAAAGAAAGAGCATAAAGATGGACAAAGCAAGGATGGAGTAATTACAGTAGTTACAGTAGTTGGTGGGAGAAGATGCTGCAGTGGTAATTAATGAGTTAATGAAAGGGTTGCCGCCTTCTTTTTTTTTTCCCAGCCAGACGGCGGGGTTTCCTTCCCTTTGGGTGAAACCACACTGCAGACTAATCCTCCCTGTTGCTGCTGCTGCTGTTGCTACCACTACTACTACTCTTACTCCTACTCCTACTACCAAATTACTCCTACTACTTACTCCTACTACTACTCTCTCCCTCCCGTCTCTCCCTCTCCCCGTCCTTCCCTTTCCCACTCCCGCATTTACTTCTTTCTGCCTCTGCGCATCTCCTCCCTCCCCCTCCCTCCCTCCTCCCCTCCCCTTTTCTTTTTCATCATGGAGTGGCAACCGCAGGATGAGCCATTGGGCCAGTTGGCCTGCTGTCTCAGGGATTCTTTGAACGGTTTCGATCGCTCGGCTCAAAAACAGGCCGAACAGGTGTGTGCTTCTTTTCCCCCTCCCCCTCCCACTCTCGCATCTGCGAATTTCTGTCTGCCCGCTTCGACTGTTTCTCTTCCTTTTACCAATACCGTCCCTGAGACCTTGCGCTTTTGTCAGCTCTTAACATATGTTATCACCCCATTTTAAGAAACCTTTTGAGCTGGTCTGCTACTGTTTGAAAAAAAAAAAATCAAAATGACTGACTGGAGCTCTCTTTTGATCTTTTTCTTTCATCTGATAGATGCTAGTACAAGCAACCTCCTCTCCAGATTATGTCAACTATATTACCTACCTCTTCTGCACTGCACAGTCCCCTTCGCATCTCGGTATGAACGATGAAACCTACAACCTAGTCCGTTTCGCCGCAGCTGTGAACCTCAAGACCAAGATCCGCGTCGCCTATGCCACAATTCCTCAAACCTCTCTCACCTATATCCGATCAGCGACTCTGACCAGTCTACGCGACAACAATTTACAAGTCCGGAACTTTGCCGGTACGATCATCACAGAGTTGGTTCAGCAAGCTGGATTGTTGGCATGGCCGGATGTTCTGAACGAGCTGCTGGCGCTTGTCGAAAATTCGGGAAACGTACCGAGCTTCACTCAGGAGGCAGCCATGTCCGCTCTCGCCAAGGTCTGCGAAGATAATCGCAAGATCTTGGATCGCGATTACCAAGGACAGTGTCCGCTCGACGTAATCATCCCGAAGCTGCTGGAATTCACCTCCAACCAGAGCGCCAAGGTCCGTTCGATGGCCCTCCGCACAATCCACGTCTTCCTTCCCCACCGACCCAAGGCGCTTGTCGCCTCCCTCGATTTGTTCCTGTCGCAGTTGTTCCAATTGGCCAATGATGCTAGCACAGATGTCCGCCGGACGGTGTGTCAGACCTTCGCCCAACTGGTGGATTTCGCCCCGGAGAAATTGGTCCCGCACATGGAAGGGCTGGTCAACTATATCATCATGCAACAGAACAATCAGGAGGATCCGGAGCTCGCCCTCGATGCGGCGGAGTTTTGGCTGGTTGCAGGTGAGCAGGTGAAGCTGCAGCAGCCTTTAGCCCCGCATATGTCCCAGATCGTGCCCGTCTTGCTGCGGAGTATGGTTTATGACGAAGACGAGGCCAACCGCTTGGCGGCAGAGGGCGAGGATGCGGAGGAAGAAGATCGCGATCAAGATCTTAGACCTCAGTTTGCGAAGTCGAAAGCCGCTCGTCTGGATACTTCTAAGCCGGACCAAGCCAACGGCAATCCCGCCCCTGAGGACGATGACGATGAGCTGAGTGAGGGTGAGATCGAGGATTCGGAGTTTGGAGACGATCCTGAGGATGAGTGGACCCTCCGCAAGTGCTCCGCTGCGGCCTTGGACGTGTTTTCCAACGTCTACCACGACCCGATCTTCGAAACCATCCTGCCCTATCTGATGGAAACCCTTCGTCATGAACAGTGGACACAGCGCGAAGCTGCTGTTCTGACTTTGGGGGCCGTCGCTGATGGTTGCATGGATGCTGTCACGCCCCACCTCCCGGAGCTCGTTCCTTATCTGATCTCGTGCCTCAATGATTCTCAGCCTGTCGTTCGCCAGATCACTTGCTGGTGCTTGGGACGGTATTCCGAGTGGGCCTCCCATCTGGCCGACCCTGCGGAAAGGGCCCGCTACTTTGAGCCCATGATGGACGGCATCCTGCGTCGCATGCTGGATGGGAACAAGAAGGTTCAAGAGGCAGCTGCGTCGGCTTTTGCAAGCCTTGAGGAGAAGTCCGATGCCAACCTGATCCCTTACTGTGAGCCCATCCTTCAGCAGTTTGTTCAGTGTTTCGGCAAATACAAGGATCGGAACATGTACATCCTGTACGATTGTGTGCAGACCCTGGCGGAGTGCGTCATGGGTGAGTTGGCGCAACCTCAGTTGGTGAACATCTTGATGCCTGCTCTTATCGACCGCTATAACAAGATCACCGACCAGTCTCGGGAGCTTTTCCCTCTGCTCGAGTGCCTTGGGTATATCGCCGCCGCTTACGGAGATGCATTCGCCCCATTTGCGCAACCTCTTTTCCAGCGCTGCATCAAGATCATCTATGAGAACCTGCAGGAGTATATGGCCTCAGTCAGCAACCAGGGTGTCGAGGAGCCTGACAAGGATTTCTTGGTTACTAGCTTGGACCTTCTGAGCGCAATCATCCAGGCGATCGACCCGCAGAAGAGCGGCGAACTGGTGGCCAACTCCCAGCCCCGGTTCTTCGATCTCCTCTGCTTCTGTATGGAGGACCCAAACTATGAGGTCCGTCAGTCGTCGTACGCGCTGCTGGGTGATTGTGCCATCAACATCTTCCCCCAACTCGAGCCCTTCATCCCTCAGATCATGCCAACTCTGATCCAGCAACTTGATCTGGATACGATCCGAGATGACGATCGGCACACGGGATTCAGTGTGCTCAACAACGCCTGCTGGTCTTGCGGTGAGATCGCGGTCAACGAGAAGGCGGCTTTGTCGCCGTACGTCGAGAAGCTGTACCAAAGGCTCTACATCATCATCAACAACAATGAAGAGATTATTGATTCTGTGAACGAGAACGCTGCGATGGCGCTGGGTCGGTTGGGAATCTGCTGTTCGGATCAACTGGCGCCTCGTCTGGGCGAGTACGCTGGCGTCTTTTTGAAGTCGATGAATAAGATCGAATTCACCCGCGAGAAGGCGTCGGCGTTCCTGGGCTTCAACCAAGTAGTCATGAAGAACCCGCAAGCCATGGAGTCATTCCTGGGCGATTTCTTCCAGGCCATTGCGGCCTTTCCCAGCAAGTCTTTGAACCAGGATGACTACCGGGACATTCAAACATCTTTCCAGCAGGTATGTATATGAACTTCCAGTTCGGTCCGGGATTGCGCTAACTGGGGGTTGTAGGTTCTGCAAGGCTACAAAAATATGATACCCAACTTCGATACCTTCCTGTCGCAACTTCCGGCCCACGTTGCCCAGAGACTTCGTTCTGTATATCAGATTTAGATCTATAATTTCTCATGTTAATGTCCCATCTGAAAGTTTCAAAATATCACATGGCGAAAGGCGTATAAAATTTTCATTCTCCTTAATTTCTTCTTTTCTGTTCCGTCCCTTCCTGTTCCAAGTTCCTGGCTTTTGAACTGGAGTCGCTCGTTGTTTTCATGCCGGGGACAGGACGTACTCGCAGTTGATCTGTCTCGGATGTCCGCCATATGTGAATGTGAATGTGGAGAGATTGAGTCCTACGGCCCACGTGTGGCGTCATGACAATCACGAGGATTTATGAGGGAGTGGCGGGATGAGCTGAGTAGCCATGGTAGGGATGCGATGCGATGCATGCTGGTCTTTTTACACGTATGTGATCATGATGAGATGAGGATTGCATGTGATGGACTTGTCACCGAGTCTGAAGTTCTTTAGTCTTCCAGCTAGCCTTACATAGATTCTATTTTAGTCTTAGAAAAGTATATGATGAACAGGCCTTGTCCTTCTCCCGTTTCACTATGGAAACTTCAACATTAGTCGTGGTGCGCCTTGGGGTTGTCTGGTTTGAGGAATGATCGGGTTGGTAATTAGGTAGGTAGGTTGTCAGTGGATGAGCACACTCTGCAGCCATGGTGTTTCCATCTCGACCAAAGTAGACTGAAATGACGTTCGCTCGCTGAGGGGATCGATCGGTATCTCTTCCTCTCGGATTCATGCCTAATAGACCACCCGTGCTAGATTAAGGCAAAAGGATATCTCCTAGACAGTTGAAGTATCACGATTGCAAAGCTTCAATCTTCTTGAGTTCAATCTCCTCTTCAAATCAAGGGCTCGAAGATGAAGACTTCTCTGTCTCCACCGCATCGGAGGGGGGGGGGGGTTGCCTACTACAGTAGCACATGGGATGGGTTCTGGAACTGCCATTGGGGGTGGGGGGTGGTCCAGGCATCAAGATATGTATCATGGATGTGTACTGCAGTGTGCCGATCAGGAAGGAAGGAAGGAACGCCCCGGAACCTGACTAGGGGTTGTTGACCTGAGCTCTGGCAGGTGGAGGGATTCATCCATCGCTCCTCATCCCGAACCAACCAACCAACGGACCAAGCACATCCGAGCCAACTTCTTCTGATCTTCTTCTGCATCCATCGTATACAATACACACTACATATATAGGCACATTAGCCTTCTCGATGAATGTTGATCCTTCAGCTCAATTACTGCTTACTGCCGACTGCTGATTGCTGATTGCTGACTGCTAACCTAAACTGCTAGTCCTGTCACTTACACTAAGTCTACTCTAGTGTCGCGTAATTAATCTGGATGGATTGAGGAATTCGGCAAACACAAAGATGGCATTAATCTACGGGGTGGGACTGTTGAAGGCTGGTAAGACATATGAATAAGGTGGATGGGCACTGGGTACTGTACTGTACCTAGCTAGACATGGCATGTTCCGACCAGCACCGAACGAGAACCCACTTCGTTTGAACGACCAAGGTAAACCGTCTGATTAGTGGTCTCGGGAGAAGGATTCCTCAGTGGTTGGGTCAGTTGTGTCAGTGAGATTTTGGGGGGCCCCGTTCGATATTGTACTATGTCGTGATCGGCAAGAAGCCAGGGCCAAGGCCCCCTAAGGGAGGAGGGAGGGATTCGCCACGTGCTGGCTGGCTCATGCCCATGCCCCATGCCCCATACCACTGGGCTGAGGACTGTACTGTACTAACTTGGAACTTACTGCGCATTTCCTACAGGGGGGGAGAAGGAAAAGGGCCGGGCCCGAGTCGAGGCCGTTCAGGCGGGGGGTGCATGCAGAGTTTTAGGCCTAGTGGGTTTTGAGGTAAAGTGCAGTTACTGACAGGGTCAGACTAGACTATCCAGTGAGAATTTTTTTCTTCGAGGTCGGATCAATCTATTTCGGCGAATTCGGAGAATCTTCCTCGATCTACAGATTCCCTTTCTTTGTGGGGTTGTCGAGCCCGACTTTGGCAGCCTTGCTGGATGGATGGAAGTGCGAAACGACTCGTCGTTTCATCCTATGCCAGATTTGCATTATAAAGTGTAAGTAGTATTCATCATTATCATTGAAAACTCAATCATGTTGTGAGTAAGTATTGTAGTTAAGTGGTTGGTGGTTTTGTTCATGTCATCGTCATCACACGTGTGGTGGTATAGTTGGTAGATCAATCAACAAGAGGCAAAAAAATGGTTCCCAAGAATCCGATCCCCTGTCCAGAATCCCTTGCCTCATCGTACCCTGATTATAACACAGCCCTAACGCCGAGGGTATATCGCCAATGGATTATCACATCCTATTCCCAGGCTCCTTGTCGTCCCACCCCGCCCTAGCCCTCTGCAGGCTAGTAGACTTCACTCCGCTTTCGGTTGCAATCCATGCTGCACAGCCCATACCCCAGTTGTGGGAGTGAGGAAGATTGTCACAGCATTGGAGAGAGAAGCGAAATCCCAATCACTGGCGTAGCATGGAAATGCAGAATAAAGATGGGTAGAGTAAAAAAAAAAAGAAAGAAAAGAAAGAAAAAAGGTTTCATGTCCGCTCTATTCAGCCATTCGCTCCCATAACCAAATCCCGATTTATGCCGTATTTTGTTCCGTAGCACCAGGAGAGAGAAAAAAAAATAAGAAAGAGAAATGTTCACGCCCCTATCGCTAGGTGCACACACTACCATTCCATCCTGCTTCTGGAACATGGTAGGCCCCGAACACGGGATGGGGTTCTTCGTAGAACTGCATATTCAGCCCTACGGATCCATCCACACGTGGCAGCTCCCCGCAGACCACATCATTCATGTATGGAGGCGGGAAGAGGGGCGAGTGCTGCAGGGACCCGGTGTGACTGTAATCTGACAAGTCCTCGCGTGGATCGGAGAGTAACCCGGGCGACGGAGGGTAGAGGGCCTGGGAGGAAGGAGGAGCTGTCACATAGGGCCCGGTGACATCAAATTGAGGACTGGCGATCGTGACGGCGGGAGGCGACTGGAGGGGCGGAGTGTAGGGGGCATAGGTGGCGGAGGCTGAGGACGGAGAAGAAGAGGAGGCGAGGCGGTAGTCGTGGGGATTGTGGTAGGGACTGGGGGGAGCAGGCGAATAGTGGTCAATTGAGGTGCGGGGAGACCATTGTAGACGGCTCTTGTATTTCGCAACGATATGACGAGGAAGGTCCATAAACGATAGCGCGAGCTGAACCTCCGGGTTGAACGGATCCGTCGCGCTTCGTGAGACGATGAGCCGGTAGATCTCCTCAATTGGGCCCAGAGACAGTGGACCTAGATACGCCCCTCCCAAATCGGGAAACAAGCTGTCCAGAACGACTCCGACGCCAAAGAATTGCGCCAGGATGGAAAGAGAACCAACATTTGCGTCTTCTGGCCGCAGCATGGCCGGTGGAAGCCAGAATAGCCACCGGCGGAGCGGTTGCATCCGCTCGAAAGCCTGCTCGGGTGTCTGAGCGAGAAGATCTCGCTGGAAGTGTCGTACAAATTCGAGGAGTTCGCCAATCCGACGATAGTGATCGTGGTTGTGCGAAGTCCGCTTCTGGATTGCCTGCAGTGCTACCATGGCTTGGTCGAGGCTAGCCAGATCCTCGTCCTGGAACTGGTAGCCAGACATGACTGGCGTGTTGGTGCAGCCCAGGTATCTCTGGTTCTCCAAATACATAGCCAGCTCTGACTCATGTTTCCAACTGGGATGCATCGAGTTCAAGACCTTTTCTCCCTATTAGCTTTTCGTTCGCTATCACACGAATTAGGTGACATACTGTAGTCAGACCCTGCTGCAACGAGGCCCAACTCTGCCACTCCGAAGCCTGCCAGGACAGGAGAATGGAGGAAGCAAGGATCGCATCACAGTTGTCTTGGGAGAATGTGCCGATCGCCTTATGGAGTCTTTGGATGGCAATCCCTCGATGGTGATATGCCAGCTGTTTGGTCTCTTGATTGCGGGTGATCCATGCCAAGTGAGAAGCTGCCATGGTCAAGATGGAGCTCATGACGAAGTCATTGGAGAGGGCAATGGTGAGGAAGCTAGCACGCAAACAGTGTAAGCCAAATGCTCGCGTTAGGTTATTGCAATTTGCAAAGACACTTACGTTGGCATCTTTTGAGCCCAAATGGTGCAATTACCGAGCCCACGACGGTGGAGATCGATGGAGAGGCCGATGATGTGGTGGACCAGCCGCAGGTCGGTCCGTGATAGCTTACTCCAGCTATTGCGAGGGAAGTGCATCAACTCGGGAAATGGAGGCACGCCCGTGACGTGCCAGTTCTTGATCTCTGCCTCGATTTCCGCTGACATGAGGAGGTCGGGAACGTTGCGGATCGAGGAGGCCTCCTCGTGCACCGCCGCGACATCCATATAGTCACAGCGACAGTTGTGCTTGGTGCAGTTGCGGCTACTTCGGGGTTAGCAGTCGACATATCAGAAACAGAGTGATATATACCATTGAGGAAAGGTTTCATCGCAGCGAATGTGACGTCTCTTGCATGTCTTGCAACCAAACCGAGACTTGGTGTGGCTCTTGCGAGGCGGACCACCACCGGGACCAGCCATGTTGTCCGACTGATCAGGGTAACTGTGTTTTAAAAGTGTATTGATATCTTCGAACACGATGTGTGCCGCAAAGCAACAGGCACAGAGCACAGGAAGGTGGTCGTGGAAGGTGAATTTGGATGGTGGAGAGCGAGCGTGGGGGACAGGAGGAAGGTCTGGAGTAGATAAACGAAAGGTGATGGATGATGAAGAGGGTCAGGATGCGGAGATGGGCCAGTCGCGGGATAGTATGATCTAATATATCCAAGGGAAAATAATAAGACCACCCAAAAGTGACTATCGGATCATGGGCGCCCACGATAGGTCGAAGCAATGCAGAGTCCAAAAATAACCTCGAGCCGCAGCCCCAGGCGAAGATGAACAGATAGAATACACGTGGGAAATACGAGAAAACGGTGCAGTTGAAAGTGTCAGTGGCCGGCCTTATATTTTGGACTCGGTCTTCTTGATTGCAATCGCTTGGCTACCCTTGGCCCTAAACCACTCTCGGAGACACAAGTAGTGGACAAGGAGGAAGGTGTGTGTGAGAGAGAGAGGGGAAGAGGTGGGAGAGGGGGGGATGTAGGGATATGAAATAGACGAATGAAGCTGGAGACAGACAGACTGGGGGGGGTATGAGAGCAAGAAGATGGAGGAATACACTGAGTATAAAAAGACGCAGGATAGCAGAACACAGACAGACAGGCCCAGCACCGGCCGGCCGGTAAGAAAGGATGCAGCCACTTTCAGGTGCGGGTCGAGGGACCGTTACGGTGGATTGGCATCGAGGTAATTTTGGGTTGATCAGAATTAAAAATCATGGGTCAGTCCGATAATCTTAACATGTACTCCGTAAATAATAATGATTAATCAGATAGGAAAGGAATGGAAATCCAAATGGAACTAGACACAAAAAGAATAATTATAATAATAAAATAAGCTGAAGAGTCTACAGGGAATAGTCTAGTATAGCGAACCAGAGAATGACAAAACCAAAATCAGTAAATAACACAGCTAGCGGGCAGTGTACTGGCAGTTTGTCCATACGGCCGTGACGAAACACCAATCGAAAAAAGAAATCATAATCATAATAATAAATAAATTCTCCATCCTTAAAACAAAACCAATTAAGCTAAGAACGGGTCGAATCTCTGGGGATAGACTAGGAGCCAAGATGTTGAGCGCCACGGTACGACCGGTCAGATGCTGATCTCCAGCAGAACCACAGTTCCAGTCATGGTGAACAATGCAGGACTAGAACAGGCGATAAGAAAATAAATCAATGGTAATAGAGAAAGAAAAAAAAAACAAAACAAAAAAAAAAAAAGAGTAGCACTGCTCCTGTGGCATGAAAGACCATACACAGCCCAGTAGTTAGACCAAATCAAACTCGAGGTTCCGCAGAAGTCAGCAGCAACAACAACAACTACAATAATAAGCAAAGAAAGACTATTGTCTGGTCTATAGGTTCGAGCCCTGTCTCGAATGCTCCAATGCTCAGAATGAATGGAACCATTCAGCGATTACAGCAGATGTGGCCGTCATGACGATAGAAGATGACTCCTGATTAGCTGGTGATTACTTATGTAGTTGGGTTAGTGTATAGGTTAGTAGCTAATTGACTGGGGAGTTGGTTGATTAGGTATGATAGTGTGCAGATTTCCCATCAGATACTGCTCAGCGCATGGGTCCTGATCTCTAATCAGTCGCTAAGCACAAAAATCATGACTGGAGGGGGGACTTTGAGCCTCCTCGACTGGATCGGGATTAGTTTAATTGTGACTAGGCAAAAAACTAGCCCTGGCTGGTGAAGTCCATCCATGATCCATTCAGGATCCATCCAGAATGAGGAATCCACTTTCTGCTTCGGGATAGTCTGGAAAATCACTGGGCATCATTGGTCGCTACGATAACCCCCAGTCGCTCAGCCCGCCAAAAGGCCAATGGAGACGGAGGGCACCGGGGGAGCCACATGGCAGCATCACCGCCAGGTGCTTGGGCCATCAAGGTTGAAACACCCGAAGCAGATTCCATTTTTGCCTCCCTGTCAGAAGAAGGCCAGCGAATATGTGTGTCAGCAAAAATAAGTTAGTTAGTTAGTCAAATACCTAAGTTGACTAAGTAGTTAACTGACTACTAAGGAACTAACTAATCAAGTCCCTTGACTAAATAGAGGATGGCCCTCCCTTTCCGCAGGAGGAATGCTGGACCCGAAAGGTTGATGAAGAGATAGCGACGGAACGAATAAGAAGAGAAAAAGAAAGCATAGGTGAAAAGACTAAATGAAGTGAGAATCAGAAATAAGAAATAAGAAATAAGAAATGACTCCTGTAGTACGTAGGAGGCTATCTGTTTCAACCACAAGAGGTGATGCATCCAAATCAAACTAGCTGGACCTCCCGCGCTCTCGGACAATGCAGCAGGTCGGGTCTAAGCCTCCCAGACAATCGGGAATTATTCAAGGTGAACCCCGGATGCCATTCCAATTCCCCGTCACCTTCTTCAAACCTAAAAATGCTGTCTCTTTAACATTCTATCTCCCCCTTAGACTCCGTATCAGAATAGCATTCACAGTAAGGGTACCCAATTACCCCTTGAGCCGGAATCAGACCATCGAAGCGAAGTGCCACAGCGAATCTAGCCCCGCGGGTCTTAGTGCGGTTTGTGGTTTGTGGTTTGGTGGTTTGGTTGTGTGGTTGTGTGGTTTGTGGTGGTGGTGATGGTGGTGGCGGTAGGTGGGTTGTCACCGACGGACAAGCCTCCTCTAAACTCTTTTCTCGCCCCAAAGAGCGAGTGAAGGTGGGCTCAAAAAGTATGGTAGGTTGGCACGCCTCCTTCTCCTTCACCCGTAGGAGGGCTTAAAGACGAGAGACAGAGCGAGGGAAAAGTCTGGACGGGGTCTGCGGAATCCTCAACCCAAACTCTGGCGGGAACGTAAACATGGTTCCGCGTTGCTGTCTCGCTGTCTCTTTCCGAAACCTCAGGCTCGACATTGGTCGGGATAGCTTTCCCCGTCTTACGAGTTGGGCAATCTGCTACTTTGGTACGGACGAGTACTATACCGCAGGTGGTGTAGTCTCTATCCTAAGTAAGTTCTGTGTGTGCTGGACATCATATGTAATTATGTACGGGGGTACAAACCTCGAAAATGGAGGGATCTTGGTTCGGGTCCGGGGACCAGGCGAGTCCCCTTAACTACCAGATCCATGACACCCTCATTGACATGCTGAAAGCTATGGCATCGACCAGCCATAACAGAGCAAAGAGTCCAGACCCCCAGAAGCTCCGATCTATAGTGGCGTTGACTTCTGCTGGACAAAAGGAGTTCCCGTGAGCGTTCCCCTGGGCATGAACCATATCAATGATGATGACTCGGTCACGCTGTCAGGGTCATCACCTCGCCGGATCGGATGAGTTTAGACGAGAGTGGACACCGATCAGCTTCGCCTGTCGGCAGTGAGTCTAATTTTGATTGCTATAGACTCATGGAGATTTAGGGATGAATGGGTTTAAACTCCTTTGGCTAGTGAGGAACTTTAGTATCTTCAGGACCCCGCTTTTTCCAAACTGCCACAGCCGTGTTCCCTCTTTGCAGGGTCGATCCCAATGGGCGGACCACCCAGTCAACGTTTGGGACGGGCACTGATCCTTGTCCTCCTTGGCTGGACAGGCCCATGATGGTCGTGCTGGGAACTGGGAAGACAATTGGGAAGAGAAGACTGGAGGGCAAGCGAACCCCTCCAGATGGCTCTGCAATCGATGACGGTTACCTTGTAGCTGGTCGGAAAATAGTACCACCACCTTAACTACTCAAGTAATGTATAGGAGGCTTGTATATACATTGACTTCATTGAGTCTTCTATTAGTACCAACTTTGCCAGACGGAAAAGGTGCCAGGTGGAGAATGATGCTCACTCACGGGGCCAAAGAAGTCCGTTGCTCGATAACAAGCGACCGAGTGATGAAGATAGAATTACTTACTTAGCTAATCGCCTTCGGACTGTCCTTCCCCGCCCTCAGTGATAATCAAAGTGGTTAACTCCTTCCCATCCGTTCCTCGTGGAATTGTCGACTTTTGTCGATGGCCGACTTCCCCTCCCCGCCGCCGAGCACTCTATGCACTGTACTATACCTCTACATTGCATTCACTTGCCCTGCTGCCCTCTGCTGCCCACGGAGGGTCGCACACCGACACTCCAATCATGAATAGAAAGAGCTATGCATTCGCCTTGCGAGGCGGACGAGTGCACTTCTGGTTGCTGTTCATGGTGCCTGAGAATAACTCTCCTTCTCGCTTCCACTGATCAAAGGAGTAGTGAGGCCAAGACACGCCTCAATGGCCCATGTCACAACCTTAATGTGCACTAAAGAGACCACCACCAGGCTTACCAGCAGTTGCCCGGCCTCGTAGTACGCCAACGCGCTGTAAGATCTTCCTTCCCCCCTTCCCTTCCCCCCTGATCTGTTCTGATCGTTATGAGTGTGGGCAATGTGGTCTAGTGCGGACTACGCGGACCCTCTCTTTCTTCGCCTCCACGGGGTGCACATTAGACCATTACTCATGGTCCGGTCCAGCGACACCGGTTTCATCCGAATTTCTCCAGAGCATGGGCCGATCACTCTACGTTTGGAGCAGTTCACTCCATGACGGGATCTCTCTCTAAACCACAACACCAGCAATGAACTGGTAGCCGCCGCCCCTCTTGTCCTTAGCGGCATCAATGGCAAGTCTCCTATTACCAAACTGAATGGGGTCATCGCAGCCGAGCACTGCGCCATTGCACACCACACCCCAAACCCCAAGCAAATATGCAGGTGGCGCATGGTGGATGGGTACTAGATACTCCGTAGTCACTCTTCTTCCCTGGTTTCTCCTTGCCGAGCACAATTGTCAACAACATTTAGTCTACCAAGAAGACCCTTCAGACTTTCGGCCGGTCAGCCTTTAACAAGTGTGCTTAGATGATCCTGCCACATGGCCATGGAGAAAGACTTCACACTCGCGCCAAGAGAATATCTCTCTTCGAAAGACAGCTGAGCTTGTCTTGGAATCAAGCCATGGTCACATTGTTTTGGTTCATCGACCGAAGAGATAACGATACCATTATGCACTAATAAATATACATCTCTCAATTTTGGTTCTCTCTGGTTTGCGACCCGCCCCCTCGATTTCTTTTCCGACTCCTATCTCATTTTGATTTTCGATTCATTTGATTTCTTTTTTTTTTCTCTCCATTTCTCTCTGTGTCTCTAAGATAAGTGTCGGCCCGCGCTAAACGGAGGGCAAACAGACTAAACCCAAAGCGGAACTGCAGGCTTCGGCTGGTCCTTCTGGAACGACCAGCAGGTCCAGCACACCAACACCACTTGAAGACTTTGGGTAGCCTAACGCGCGCCCTAGTCCGTCATAGCGTTGGCTTTCCTTTCCCAGTATCATTTCCATTCTTCCCACCTGCAGAGCTAGTCTGGTTATGACTAGTGGTCTTCGCTTGTAAGCCGAACACTGCAGCGGCGCCCATCTGGCGTGCAAGGTGGGGAGGGGATGCGGCGCCCGCCAACCAAAATAACCTTGTCTGAGTGGACTCAGTGGAGAGAGAGGGGAGTCAGTCGACAAATTTGCCAGAGGTGAGAGAAGAGATATTTGAGAAGATCCGGGTGCTTATGCCCAGAGAAAGGTAAATCAAACCTTGGAGACGTGATTTACGTAGTCTGTTTCCCCTTCTGCAGGTTCATCTCATCCCATTCATCCTACCATCAGCCATCGTCATCACTTTGTTAGTGATGTTCACCATTTCTCGCGTGCACATGTCTGTCTTCCTTCGCACGTCGCATTCTGGGCGCAGAGTCGCACAGTTTCAGCCTCGACGACTTGCGCTGGGACCTCCATCCAGCCCGCTTCCAAGCAGAGAGCACCTCCCCCCCCCCCCCCCCCTCCCTCCCTCCCAGCGTCCCATCGTCTCGATCTGAATTATTGAGTCTTCCCAATCGGCCGGATGAGACAGCATCAAGCCGTCAGCTAGTCTAGAATGAAGAAGAGATTAGCTGTCCGACTTCCGACCGTCCGATCGTGTATCGACCCGACGCATTTCGGTCGCTGTGCTCCTCTTCCGTTTTTCTTTGGTAATCTCCAATCCGGTTATTTTTTTTTCTGTCCTGTGGATTCGGGATGGCGGTCGTCTCCCGGATCTACAGTGGGGTAGGATCAGGAGAAAGGGGGGAAGAAGAAGGGGAGACTCGGGAGAGTAAATACGGCGAGTCAGTGACTCGCTGGTTTCTGAGTGAATCTTAGCTAGCCTACTAGCTAACTACTGGCAAGTTTTGCATGACAGACCGGCCGGCCGGCTGACCGACAGCTACGCTTGCATTAGTTTCTCAGATCGAACTGTAAATAACGACAGGGGGCAGGGGGAGGGAACAAGGACAGGTAGACTAAGGAAAGAGGGAGTCAAACGGACGCAGAGGGTGCAGAACTAGAAAAAAGAAAACAACAAGAAGCGGTCATCAAGACCCCTCCTAACTGATCTAGTACATACAGTACAGCCAGCGATCTGAGCTACCTGGTAGTAACAGGAAATCACCACGACACAACTCTGGCATCTCTGATTCTGATTGGAGGCGAGGAGGGGGGGGAAGCTGAAGGTTGAGGATGAAGGGAGATGGAGAACGACTTAGTCAGGTACCTAGTAGGTAGGTAAGTTACTTATCTTAACTTTCCTCTTGGCACTTACCAACCTTTGACGATTCCGGTAACTGGTCAAGGAGGCTGAAAATCATCCGACTCCCAAGTCCCCGTCGAACATCCCACATCCCCCCCCCCCAATGCCCCATCATCCAACAATGGTTTAGTTGGTTTCATATCAATCCGGAGGAGGGCAATTACTCCCCTTAGCCTACAAGCAGAAAACAGCAGTTGGTGCCAAATCATCGAAAAACATCCCGGGCCACCGGTCCGGGTTCGACTAGCAATTAAGTACGTACAGTACTCACTTTACTTTTACTTTCCAATCTCCCCCCTCGGTCAATGCGGTCAATCCCGGAAGAGGCTGAGACTTGGGTGCCCACAAAATTCTCTTGTCAAATAATTTGGCGGCCTTACAACGTGAACCCGAGTATAGGGCCCAGCTTCCTAGTACGGAGCATTCATAGATATCTTTACCTTTTGGACTTTTGTTGTTGTTGTTTGGTTTCTTGTAATATTGATACCGTACCAGTTACAGAATATCTACCGAAGAGCAACCGTAAAAAAATTCGATTAACCAACAAGGCCATAAACAAATACCATAAACCCATTAAAGACTATTATAGAGAATGAGGCGCAGAGGACATCAGCAGCAGCAGCAGCAGAAGCAGCATCAACCCAGGATGGGGGGACGACCCAGACTTGACTTTTTTTTCCACCTGCAGAGACCAACACCGATCATGGAGGGGTAAGCGGCAGGAAGGGGGGGGGGGTATGCAGTGTCACACACAAAAGCCTCATGCCACGTTTTTGGGGGGGATCGCACATCTTGCAAGAATAGACGGGCTGTGGCAGGGAAGGAGAGGGGGGCCATGTGACGCCGATGCTTGAATGATGCCGAATTACTATGATGAAGAAGTGATGCGTTGATGAACGCATGGCTAGCAGGCATCCCTGTCCTGTTCTGTCTAGGGGGCCCTGCGGTCAGCCGAACGGAAGTATAGATTACCTTAAAACATCAGATGGGATGATGATGATGAGGATGAGTAAGTAGTGGTTATCCGTAGTACTAAGTTTATTTCAAGGGTACAGTACTTTTCCCCGTACATGACAGTTGTTGCCAAGCTTGGGGGGGCGGAAGAGTCCCCATTCACATGATGAAAATGGTAGAGTCGATATGCATGAAATGAACTTCTTGCGAGGCAACAAATGGTCTGTTCTTGTTCAGACCCTTAGACCTTTTCGCCCAGGCAACCGATGGATACTTGGCGCGCTGGCGCGCCGCGGGTGGGATGGTATCTTCGC